TTCAAACCATGCTTTTTATTTGTGGTGTTTTAACAGGGACTGTCAGCTGTATTCTTCACTGTAGTCCTCATTTGGGGTTGCTATAACATCACAGAGCATTAGCAGCGTGTGAGATTTCCAAATAATCCCCAACATGTCGACTTTGCAGCTAAATGATGACGCATCAAGCTGCGGTTTAGCACTTGTTAATCTTTGAGCGGCATTGAACAGTGATTTTTATTTTTTATTTTATTTTTTGGTAGAGAGTGCTGTGCTGGGGCTAGGTTATAATCTTTTCAGTGATTAAACACTTTTGCAGCTGCTACCAAAGAGGTTGACTTAAGAATGTGCCACTTTTGCTCATAAGTTAACCTTCTTTTCTAGTTAGAAATTGTATTCTGTTGTGTCAATAGATGTGTAAAGTAAGGTGTTAACTTCCAGTTTACATACAGGGTTATGCATGTAAATAGTTAAGAATAGAACCAAGAAGTGGGTATCACATTAAAACATGCACGAGTGGGGAATAGCGATGACTCAATAGGCACGAATCACTCTGAAACAATATACATGCGGGGTTTTAGGCTCCTAAAAGTTGATCAACGCACACTTACTTTTGAGTAGGCTCCACTCCCCACTGTCGCTGGTCTCAGTATTTATGATAGCTTGGAATTTTCAATTTTGGAATCCAAAATTGGGTGCGCACTTTTCTGGTACGATTAAGAGGCCTTCGGCAAACTTGTGGTGCTCGGGCCTAACGATTAATGCATGTATGTTGGGTGACACGAAAAATGTTGTATAACACAACTTAATTGGTTTTTATCATGTATTGCTATAACACCAAGCCTATTTCTTTTACAGCCAATAAAGCAGATGGACTTTCTAAAATATCTTTATATATACTGTATTTTTCTTTTTTTGTCCTCTTGTTTTTTAGGATTTGGTTTTAGCTTTTGAGATATTTTCCAGGGCCAGCAACAGTTTAAAGGGGACATATCATGAAAAATCCACTTTTTGTGTCTTAAATGCCTTATGTTGTGTAGTTGGAGCCTCTAGAAGTGCAAAAAAGTTGAAATCAGTCTCTTCATGGGTTGCAGAGAACACTTCATATTCTGTTTAGGTAAGATTTTTCAACCCGTTCTGATTTTGCCATTCTCTATTACGTGTTTAGAATTATTACGTCACAGTATTTGCAGCGGGACTGCTATATAAGGGCATGGGCGTCTAACAAAACACTTCGGCCCAGCCCTCCTCTACTGTGCATCACTTCGAATTTGTAGTCCCAGCTCAAGGATGCCAGCGCACAGGGCTGGACTGGCCATCAGCCGTACCGGGCAATGCCCAAAGGGCCGATGCCCATATTTGGGCCAGTCTGTCTGCCTCATACAAAACACATGTTTATGAGAAGTGTAAATCCGTTGAGAATTGTTCGAGGGGGCGCGCGTATCCGCGGGGCACCTGCTGTATGTACTCAAATGGGATTCCGCCACCTCAGCGGCCGCAGTGTTCTGGGGTTATCTGCGGCCGCTTTGTAATGCGGCTGCGAGAGGCTGTGAGCGTCCAGCTGCTCGCAGCCGCTCCACCGTGTTGTGGCTGAGCGCGCAGCCTCAACGTGGCCATGTACCCAACCCTATAAACGCGCACAGGACCATGCGTGTCTTTGAGTAATCTGTGAACCCAATAAATACACTGCTGCAGGAAACAGTCCGCGTCTCCCCTCTCCTCTCGAAGGGCGATTAAACGCTCTAAATAAAGCTCTGATACCTACATTTTGCATTGCATTAAAAACTCATGTTTGAGCCCAAAAGTAATATGTTGTGAACAAATTAAACAGATTTAGAGCCAGCAAATGGCTGACAATATGCATTTCAGTCTTTTTTGACCAATTCTCATCCCTGTAACAAACAATAGTGTTGTCTGTGTTCACCTCCTTCACTCTGAGACATGTTTATTACTCTCTTGTAATGTAGACTATTGCATTTTATTTTATTGTTGAAACTGCATATCCTGATCCTCTACAGTATTTGCTTCCACATACTGTATAAACTAGGAGTCGGCAACCTGCGGCTCCGGAGGTGCATGCGTCTTTTTCCTTCTGTAGAAGGAAAAATGTTCTTAACGTTTTTAAATGCTGTAAAATTGTGCATAAGTAATATTCAATTTAAACATTTCTGTCAACGTAGTGCGTCTTATCCTGCGACGTAGGCCAGCGCCAGGCGGCCGCTGTTGTAAACAAACCGGCATGTGAGCTCTGCTTGTGTACAAGTCTCTCCATGGCCTCGCTCCAAAATATATTAGTGACATGTTAGTACCATACGAACCAGCCCGGACTCTGAGGAGCACAGGGACTGGACTCCTGCTGGGACTCTGAGGAGCACAGGGACTGGACTCCTGTTAGTGCCCAGAGTCAGAACTAAACATGGGGAGGCTGCTTTTCAGATTCATGCTGCTAAAATCTGGAACAGTCTTCCTGAAGATGTGAGACAGGCCTCCTCTCTGACAATGTTTAAAACCAGGTTAAAGACAGTTCTGTTTAGCAGTGCATACAACTGAGGGATTTTATATTTTTATCTTTCTTTTTAATGTTCTGTGATTATTTATGATTTTAATGCTTTCATATTTTGTTCAGCACTTTGAATTGCCTTGTGTATGAATTGTGCTATATAAATAAACTTGCCTTTCCTTGCCTTGACTGTGCACATGGATCCCAAAGCTAAAAAGAGAAGAGTCGATAATAAGACTGGACTAAGAATGAAAATTAACATTTGCTTTCAGTCAATGAGGAAGGCCTGCTTTGATGTTTGCGATGTAATGAGAAGTTTCTATGAGATAATTGTATCTGTGCTTAGAAACTACAAAAATGGCCGCTCGGGGTGGAGTTGAACCTGTGTCACCTGGATGGGGGGGTGGACAAAAGCGCCTCATTTGCATTTAAAGAGACAGCACCAAAACAGGTTGCTCTCAGACGCACCTCAGAACAGGTGTAGAAGAAAGGCCTGTGTAGCTACAAATAATGAGACTCAGACCCAGGCATTGCAGTTACGCTTTATATAGGCCACAAATTAATGATTTAGATGTAAAAATCAATTATTTGAAAACACGATATGTCCACTTTAAGACTAATGGATGTACACTCGACACTGTGACATCACAAAGTGACATTCTTTGTTCCCTAATTTTACGATGCCTCTCCTAACGGAGCTCAGTCAGATTTACGGCGCTGTCCCATTGTAAAAGCGCTGCATGTGTGTGCAACGTAATGACTTTGTGACAACCAGAGCAGACACTGGCACATGTCCAATTTAATTATTGCCACTGAGTTAAACTTTTACTTTGTCACTAAATTATCCTCAACAGTTTCTACTCATCCGGACGTTTTTCAAATGGCCTGGACCATCATCTGTGGAGAATTCAGATGCTGTTGGAAATATTTTAGCAATGTGACTTTTCATTTTCCTTACAGATCAGATTCCACACTAGATTCAATTATTCATCTTCTTTGTCACTAGAAACAACAACATTACATTCAGAGCATAATTTGAACGTCAGCGGGGATTAGAAAGTGCAAAAGTATGTAGACATTAAACATACTGAGGGGTGCATTCAAAGTCAGTCCCAAGATAACACAAAGTGTGAATGCCCCTACGCAAAGCATACTAAGCCATATTTGGAGCACTTTGTGAAAAAAGGCATTGTTCAAAACAATTGTAGTACAAAATTATAATAAATAATTTTGTATCCTTAATACACATTTATACATGGTGAGTTTGTGTGCATTGACTGAGATTGTTTGAATGTTCAATGGCTGTGCTGGATTGTTTTAAGTGGTTTCATCACTTGGTCACATCGGTAAATGGCCCAACCAAACACATTCATAACAAAAAGGGACATGATATGGTTCAAAACCTGGAAAAAAACAATGCTAAAACAGTTATTTGGTTCTTCTATACCAGACAAATGAAAGATACGTTATCAGAACCATCTCTCAAAGACGCGCATTATCAGCTGTTCTTCCCAGTCAACCACATTGAGTGCTCTGACTGCGCCCTCTGCTGGCCGGTGGTCACTGGAGACGTGAGTCCCATGTGCGGGAGAGTTGGAATGCGCCCCTCGTCTTGATTCATAGTGTCTGTGCATGTTAAGGTAATGACATTACAATCTTACTGGTCTGGTTTAGAAGAACCAAATACTTGATATTCTAAAAAGATGAACCCTCTCAAACTTATACTGCATGTATTCAATAGGTTAACACATGGTTATTGAGAAAGTTTTCAGATAAATATAAATGGAAAAAAATACTTTTTTGTAAATTTACAATGAAGAATAGTATTGAGTACATTTGCAATAAAACTGGTCATACATTTGGAACACCCTACTATAAATGCTCAAAACTGGTCATTTCCATGTATTTGATGCTGCATCAGTTGTTTGAAATCTTGGGGATGATAGGAACCTTGGTTTTGCATAAGGCATAGACTGACATATTCCCAGTGCACACTCTGCTTTATAACTCTGCGGAGATCAATATTTGTGCAGGGAATGCAGTGGTGGAAGTATGTTTGCCTCCGCACTATCTGCCCAGGACAGACCTGCTCTGTTTGGGGCTGGAGGGGAGGAAAGGGCCCATGGGTGCTCCGCAGAAGTGTACAGTAAACCTCAGGCTGACCTGTCGGGATGGATATTTAATAAGTGTACTCACCCAATGTTCTGCTGGTGTTATGAATACGACCCAACTCTGCCCTTTGACTGAAACCAGAGAGTAAAGCGAGAATTACACAGGATTGAATATCGGTCAACTGCTCCTATGATCCACACAACTGAAATGTTAAGATCTGTTAAAAATCTGTTAAAAAGTGTTTACACATAAGTTGATCTTAGTCTTTCTTCATATCACAGTACATTATATAAAGATTAATGATGAATTAACGTCATGTATCAATGCACTTATATACCTTATTTGTTTCAGGTCTTCATTGCAGTTAACATCATAATGAAATATTGTATTCTGTGATTTTTCTGTCCAGACATTCAACACAGCAGCAGACCAACAAAGTCATCACCACTACCAGCCAGCTCATCAAACAGCTCTCGGACATCATCAGCAGCTCCTCACGGGTGGGCCCTCACAACCAAGCAATATTGTTTTCATGGTCCGCATGAGCTTCACAAACTCACATGTTTACAGCGCGTACTCATGTTCCTAAAATTGTGACAGAGTTATTGTAGAATTAAATAATTTCATTCTAACTATTATACCTTCCATACAGGAGTGGCATGCTCTCCCTATTGCATTGTGTCTGAATGAGATCACTGCTGAAGTACACATTCCACAAACTACCCCCCACATGGTGTTTTCGGACATGGAGCAATATACAACTCATGAATGTAGAATAAATCAAAGACCCATTCTGCATAACACATAGTAGCTAATACATCTTCAAATATTTTCAGAAATTGAGAAAGTAAATGCTACACTGTCCGCAAACAAGACTCACAGTACCTCACACTCTTTTACAGTCAGGTAATGGTTATGATTTAAGTTGTGAACAATAAGATAGCTTTCTGTGGGAGGAAATGCCAAGATCACTAGTTTGACCTAGCTAGTTAACTATGAATTATGACTTGCTTGCTAGGTAAATGGGTCAAATGGGGTCCAGATTCTGAGCAGTTGTCCCAGCTTTGACAACATTAGTGCTTGGCGCAGATGTACAGTGGGGCAAAAAAGTATTTAGTCAGCCACCATTTGTGCAAGTTCTCCCACTTAAAAAGATAAGGGAGGCCTGTAATTTTCATCATAGGTACTGTCGGTGTTCTCTTTCGCCATGCATGAAATCCAGTTGACCACAATTCTCATGAATGGGATGTGGGGGCAGCCAAAACAAAACACAAACCGGTTGTTTGTAGCGAGCACTGCAAGCATTACCAAAACGTGTGTTCGAAAGTGACGCGTGATCTCATGCACTTCATACTATTGTTAGCTAACTGTCCCACTATGTAGAAATCTTCCATCTCTTCTATCATTTCAGGGCTTCATCTTGTGTCTGTTTCACATCAAATTTCAGAAAAACAAACCTCTTAAAATCCTGCTTTCCAGTTTTTGTTTTGTTTTTTCTATTTGATTTGTTGTTATCTGGCCTTATTATCATTGTCACATGTATAAAATAAACTTTAATGAAATATGTATAATGGTTGTTTTTGTAGCAAGACCGTCTCCGCCTAACCAGACTAAAGAGTGAACTGTCAGACTCAGTGCAGCGCTATGGGGACCTGCAAAAGGTAACTTCAAATAACGTTTATTGATATAATTTCAGATAACCAAACATGTATTTGTAAATGTTTTATTCAGGCGAGTGTCTTTGTTCTCTTTGTTTGACAGAAAATTGCCGAGCGCTCAAAGGCACTGCTCCCTCCGACGCACATGGAGAAGAAAAAGGTAAGATGGTTTGATATTTCTTAGAATGACTATTGTTCTACAAAGATGCTTCTGTTTTTGCTGAAAGCTTTTTAAAATATAAATTATATATTTTTGACTGGGTCAATAGGGTTAAATTGAATTCACTGTTCACAAATATGTGCAATTACAATGTAAATGGGATTTTTTTTGTAGATTTTTGCTTTGCCTTTGATTTCCCTCATGTTTCAAGCTTGGGGCCTTTGTGGATGAATGTGGCATTGCATCAAGATCAGTTAAGGTAAAATTTTATTGATCTCACAAAGTAGAAATGTACATTTTTATGTGTGTATTAAAATAAAAAAACAGACTAGCAGTGTGAGTTTACAGTTCTGTCATGTCTTGTCATGATAGCTGTCAAAGATACGGCCATGGTCTCTCAGTGGGGGCTTCAGGCAAAGTGGGGTTAAGTGTCTGGCCCAGGGACACAACGACAGTGGATATCAGTGGGAGCAGATGACATATTCAACCAACTGAGCCACTGTCGCTCCCAGTTTAAAGTCCTAGTGCTGGGAAAGTCAAAGTCATGACAAAGTCCATGATAACCATCCCGTACTCCAGTTCATTCCCACACACCGCCCACAATAGCGAAGTCGTCAGAGAACTTCTGCAGGTGCCGTGTGTTGTGTGCGAAGTCCGATGTGGTGAAGAGATAAAGCTGACAATTCACTGGAAAAGTTGAATTGAATAAGACAAAAAAAAAAATTAAGTAACTGACTTGATAATAATATCGGTTTTAAATAGCGCATTTTGGACACTTTTTTTTCACTCCATCAACAGTTGATAAATAACTACTGTCGTCACAACTGCCCTAGGGCACACTACCAGAAGCGGGGCAACCAGTATGTGCCATCAGCACCTCTGACCACCACCGATCATTCACGCATGCACCACACACACTCTAGACCAGTGTCTCCCAAAGTGGGGTCCGCGGCCCCCTGGTGGGCCGCGAGGGTACTGCAGGGGGGCCGCGGGAGGTCATAAAAAAAATAAAAGAAATAATATAATTATTTAATGTTAAATTTATAATGTTTTTTTTTGTAATATTAAAATATTTGTGTTCATTATTTGACTTGAATAATCCACTGTAATCATTTTTGTATTACAATGTTTGTAGCAGAGGCTATTTCCCCAAAATAAAATAACCAGAAGAGCCTATTCTTAATGTTGTCTTCTTGGTTATTATTTTGGGGGGCCACGCAGACCCGTCAGATTTTTAAGGGGGCCTCGGTGTTACTGAGTTTGGGAATGGCTGCTCTAGACAATGTGGGTGAAGTATCTTGCTTAAGGACACAACGACAGTTTGGCAAATCACTGCCTCACTGTGGTGCCTGGTGTTCCCAGAGGTCTCCCATCACAGTACTAACCAGACCCTGCTCTGCTTATGGCTTGCCCAAGGACACACCAACAACTTCCAGTCCTTATCCACCACATATCCTCAACATGTTATTTGAATTTAAGCTGCTTTCTTTACAAACCCAATAGACAAAAATGCTCCATCCTCCCCATACGATACAAATGGTAGCAACCCAAACTTTTTAAAGCTTACTCATCACGCTCTGTATAGACTGCCATTCATCACTGCTGCCTCCTATTCATTACTGGGATTGCTTTATCACCTTCTTTGACTGGGGCTAAATTGGCTGCCGACAGCACAGCACAAGACAACAACTCACTTATTACTGCTGCTCGAAAACAAAGGCATAAAAACTGTGCGCAGAAAATATGGTTAACAAATTAAAGTCGATCTTTATTACGGGCACACAGCAAATATTTGGACGCTTATTATCGATTAGTCCAACGAGATAGTAAAGCATATTAGTTTATATGCCTTTGCTGGTCCTAAAAGAAAATAAATATTTCAGAAATGGTAGACTTGGAGATGGTAAAAAAAGATGAATATTGTGTATTATAGAAGGTGCAACCCCTCATTTGTCCAGGACTGATATGTGAGTTTAGAAGTAGTAGTTTATCACAACAGCTAACGTTTTTTGGATTTCTTATTGTTAAAGATGTTTTTTTTCCTAACCATTATATATGCTAATGAGATAACTTACTTTATCATTTATTATTTTAGAATGTGAAATGATATCTTACAGTAGGAGTAAATACAGTAAAATGTGTAGTGAACACGTATGAATGGTTAAACATGCTCTCCCACAGTAACTACAGTACTGTACCTATGCTACCACAAGAGGGAGGAGATGAATGGCTTTTTAATTGTAAAAATAAACACTTGTGTCCAAGGTTTGAAATTATAAGCAATTATACTCTTTTATAAATGTTTGACAAAAGCATCTTTAAACTGAAGAATTGTATCTGTATTCAGATCCCTTTTAAGATCTCAACTTCTTTTTTGACGTACGCTTGATTGGTGTAAAACTATGATAATCATTGACTACAAAAAACACTTGCACATTAAATATATCTCTAATTTTCAAAACAATTTCAAGAAATCGTCATATCACATCAAAAATTCAACATAGACTCAAATGTCTTGAAAATTACACGCCGTCAGACAAGCACTAATATTTACACTCTTTGCTTTTGCTGGTACAGTGCCTTGCGAAGGTATTTGGCCCCCTTGAACCTTTCGCCACATTTCAGGCTTCAAACATAAAGATATAAAAAAAAAAAAAATTGTCATGAATCAACAACAAGTGGGACACAATCGTGAAGTGGAACGAAATTTATTGGATCATTTAAACTTATTTAATAATAAACTGAAAAGTGGGGCGTGCAATATTATTCGGCCCCTTTACTTTCAGTGCAGCAAACTCACTCCAGAAGTTCAGTGAGGATCTTTGAATGATCCAATGTTGTCCTAAATGACTGATGATGATAAATAGAATGCACCTGTGTGTAATCAAGTCTCCGTATAAATGCACCTGCTCTTTGATAGTCTCAGGGTTCTGTTTAAAGCGCAGAGAGAACCATGAAGACAAAGGAACACACCAGGCAGGTCCGAGATACGGTTGTGGAGAGGTTTAAAGCCGGATTTGGATACAAAAAGATTTCCCAAGCTTTAAACATCTCAAGGAGCACTGTGCAAGCAATTATATTGAAATGGAAGGAGTATCAGACCACTGCAAATCTACCAAGACCCGGCCGTCCCTCCAAACCTTCATCTCAAACAAGGAGAAGACTGATCAGAGATGCAGCCAAGAGGCCCATAGTCACTCTGGATGAACTGCAGATAACTACAGCTGAGGTGGGAGAGTCTGTCCATAGGACAACAATCACTGCACAAATCTGGCCTTTATGGAAGAGAGGCAAGAAGAAAGCCATTTCTCAAAGATATCCATAAAAAGTCTCGTTTAAAGTTTGCCACAAGCCACCTGGGAGACACACCAAACATGTGGAAGAAGGTGCTCTGGTCAGATGAAACCATAATCAAACTTTTTGGCCACAATGCAAAACGATATGTTTGGCGTAAAAGCAACACAGCTCATCACCCTGAACACACCATCCCCACTGTCAAACATGGTGGTGGCAGCATCATGCTTTGGGCCTGCTTTTCTTCAGCAGGGACAGGGAAGATGACTAAAATTGATGGGAAGATGGATGGAGCCACCTGAGACTGGGACGGAGATTTATCTTCCAACAGGACAATGATCCAAAACATAAAGCCAAATCTACAATGGAATGGTTCACAAATAGACATATCCAGGTGTTAGAATGGCCAAGTCAAAGTCCAGACCTGAATCCAAACGAGAATCTGTGGAAAGAGCTGAAGACTGCTGTTAACAAACGCTCTCCAAACCTCACTGAGCTCGAGCTGTTTTGCAAGGAAGAATGGGAAAGAATTCCAGTCTCTCGATGTGCAAAACTGATAGAGACATACCCCAAGCGACTTGCAGCTGTAATTGCAGCAAAAGGTGGCGCTACAAAGTATTAGCGCAAGGGGGCCGAATAATATTGCACGCCCCACTTTTTAGTTTTTTATTTGTTAAAAAAGTTTAAATTATCCAATAAATGTTTGAAGCCTGAAATGTGGCGAAATGTTGAATACTTTTGCAAGGCACTGTAAATGCAATCGTATTATTCTGAATGTATCCCCTAACAATGTTTCTTTCTCAAAAGTGACCTTCCTGACACTCTCCATGGCCTGTTGTGTATCGTATTGTGTTCCCGTGAGAGGAGATGATTGTGATGCTTTGGTGTCGGTTAGCGCCTGTGATTCATTATTCCACTGTGCGTAGTGACTCAGCCTGGGCAGCTCTCAGCTCTGTGACCCGCCACGGCTTCACAGACACCAATTAGTGGAACAGTCGGACCCAAGCGAAAGCATAGGGAGTCATTTACTTCTGCTGTCTGGATGGAGTCTGATTTGGCTCTGCTTTGATTGATGAGATTGATATCAGAGGTTTTCAAGTTAAGCCAGGGCTAATTGAGATTTTCCGTTATTATTCATTCTGAGTGATCATCATCTGTGGGATTATCAGCTGTTTATCCAATGTGTGCAGGTGTTTTTTCTTTTTTCCGTGCAAAGTGCTTGAAAATAATGTTTTTTGCTGGCAGCCAATATCGCGAGTATCTTTGAGGAACTGGCTGACAGTGATCATGTAAGCCCTTTACAAACAGTGCACTCAGGTGAAGTCTGTATGTGCTGTCAGTACTTGTTTGTGTTGGTTTTGTACATAGAAGGAGTATGTCTGTGTGCTCTGGGGGCAGCACAGTCTGAGAGTATAGCTATTCTGGGTTCTAACAGCATGTTGATCGTCCAGTTTTAAATCAGAACTTTTACTTTTTTATTTTGTATATTTCTTGTTCATGTTTCCCTGACCTATGACTCTTTAATGGAGCAAAGCATGTTGGCGAGATGTGGAGATCTCTCAGTAGTCAATGTCGAGACCAACTAATGGTGTGAAATTGATTGAAGGGGATTTTAAAGCAACATTATTTGTACAGCACAATTCATACACAAGGCAACTCAAAGTGCTGAACAAAATAAGATGGAAAAAAATCACAAATATCATAAA